CTCCTGACTATTATGTAACACTTGTAACTCCTAATTATTATGTAACACTTGTAACTCCTGACTATTATGTAACACTTGTAACTCCTAATTATTATGTAACACTTGTAACTCCTGACTATGTAAAAGTATTTAACATTACTTGGATTTTTTTTATCTTATAAATGAGCTTTAACTGGCACTTGGTTACTGTTCTTCATTTTTCTAAGGAAATTACCAAACATAGCATTCACGTGTGAAAAAGTCTTTGGATTACCCAGGAGAGAGCAGGAGATTATCAAACATAATATTGACGTGTTGAAAGTAAGCATGTACTTGGATTATCCAGGCTAGTGTAGGAGATTACCAAACATAACATTGACGTGTTGAAAGTGAGTCCTTGGGCTATCCAGGCTAAAGTAGGAGATTACCAAACATAACACTGACATGTTGAAAGTGAGCATGTCCTTGGATTATCCAGGCTAGAGTAAGAGATTACCAAACATAACATCTGGTGTGAAAGTGAGCATGTCCTTGGATTATCCAGGCTAGAGTAGGAGATTACCAAACATAACATTGACGTGTTGAAAGTGAGCATGTCCTTGGATTATCCAGGCTAGAGTAAGAGATTACCAAACATAACATCTAGTGTGAAAGTGAGTCCTTGGGTTATCCAGGCTAGAATAGGAGATTACCAAACATAACAACTAGTGTGAAAGTGAGTCCTTGGGTTATCCAGACTAAAGTAAGAGATTACCAAACATAACAACTAGTGTGAAAGTGAGTCCTTGGGTTATCCAGGCTAAAGTAGGAGATTACCAAACATAACAACTAGTGTGAAAGTGGGCATGTTGAAATGTGAAACTTCAATACAAACTTCCAACAGATTCTTCACTGTGTTTGTATACTTTTAATAATATCATTATTTTGAGTACAAGAGATTAGAAGCCAGAACAAAAATTTCAGGGAGAATGTGGCTATCATAAACTAAATCTCTCCTATAACAAAACAAATGAATACACTTTTATTTGGGTAAATATTTCAAAACTTTAAGTACAAGTTACTGTAGTTGGTCAAGATTGTTGTAAAATCTGTCTTTCCAGCCTTGAACTACCTTAATCATGGCCCAAGGAACTTTTACGTGCAAGGTGAGTCTAATCCAAAGTTTTTCTGGTGATCCATAAACAGGTTGGTGGTGTTACTGTGGTTTCTAATCTGTGTTCTAATCTAGCTAACTACGGGGTGTGACATATACTACCATATGTACCAAGGTAGTAACTGGATTTATCGTTGTAGAAAATTACTCCAGTTCTTTATAGTCTGTCTCTACAAGTGCTACTTGAACAAGCACCAATAAAACTGGATTTATCGTTGTGTTTTAAATTTCTAGTTTGATAATTTGCAGGGAAACAACTCCACGTCTAAACTTAACAAACTTCCCTCTCTGTATTTTTTTTTCAACAAAAATTGGTTTAATATTTATTGGAATAAACTGGTTACAGCTGCGAGTAAAATTAAACGTTCTATAAAGTAAAGACAATTTAAAACCTTTGTACCTCGGGTCTAGAAACAAGCCGTATTTCTTCTTGTGTCCTAGTTAAACACGTAGTGAGTTCGTTGGACAAGATCTTTTTTCTCGTACTTAAAACGAACTGAAGATTATATCGCATTGAAAGTAAGAAGGACCACATTATCTGAACATCTACGATCGTCTTCACAGAAATGCGTCTCATTGTGCTAGCGTTTAATTTCACCTTAATTAACATCTCCTGGACACAGAAATTTCATTTTCCGTTTGCCTCACGTCGTCGAGTGTTCCCAGGAGAAGGCTGTGTAGACTGTGTGGCAAAGCTGAAAGAATGTGTTCAACATTGTCTGCTAGAGCATGATTGTTCGACTTCTAGTGTCAAAGGTTAGCCAAATATTTTGTTGAATATCTTTATTTTAAAGTTCGAAGTAATGAAACAACGTTCAATTGTTCTAAGTTAGACAACTAGATAGTTATATGTTGACATTAAATTTCACAACTCTAATGTTAACATATTAATCGTCTATTACATTTTTTCACATTTTGAACTTAATATCATTGAAGTGACCGATAATAATTCTGCATTTTACTGTAGTTTTTTAAAATAACCGATGAGTCAAAAGATTTTAATGTTACGTAACAATTTTTATCCATGTATAATACAATCAATCTTATACGATGGAACTGAACTTTGCTCTTGAGACAACAGTCAACATTTGATTCTACAATAGTCTTGATGTTGGAATACTAGGATTTCGGCTGTTTAGAAATATGAGTGTATTTAGTTTCTTCTAAATAGAGGATCGAACGTAGGATTAAAACCATCCCTAGAATAATACACAATTTAACAGTTTTTAAAGATAGTTTGCTACATTACATGGGTTGTGTGTGTGTTCTAACTTATTCTACAGATTTCAGAAAATATACTTGGATTGTTGGTTTGTTATATGGATGTGCTGTATCACAGCAGTAATCAAACCCATACATTTAGTGCTATAAGCCCGTACGCTTACCGTCCATGAGTGATAGTGGAGACATGGTACATAGTTTAAAGAATGCTGTCAGCTGGAAAGTTGGCTAACTTTAACATTAGGATATAATGTAATCATAAATTAAACACCTTGTAATGAAAATCCATTGTCAGCTAGAAAGTTGGCTAACTTTAACATTAGGATATAATGTAATCATAGATTAAACACCTTGTAATGAAAATCCATTGTCAGCTAGAAAGTTGGCTAACTTTAACATTAGGATATAATGTAATCATAGATTAAACACCTTGTAATGAAAATCCATTGTCAGCTGGAAAGTTGGCTAACTTTAACATTAGGATATAATGTAATCATAAATTAAACAACTTGTAATGAAAATCCATTGTCAGCTGGAAAGTTGGTTAACTTTAACATTAGGATATAATGTAATCATAGATTAAACACCTTGTAGGATATAATGTAATCATAGATTAAACACCTTGTAGGATATAATGTAATCATAGATTAAACACCTTGTAATGAAAATCCACAAAATTTCAGACTTTTTATTCCTTCTTCTAAATTACTTTGTCTTGCGTCTTCCAAAGAGCTCGTGCTGTATGTCTGACCCAAAAGTAGGTCACTTCGTATATCAACTGGTCTAACGTGTCTATCAAGATTCATCGCTGTATTTATCC